CGCCGCCTTCGAGGAAAGCTGTCCTCGAAGCATGTGCAGAGTGCCCTCCTCGCCCCGAACCGCAGCAGCTTGGCGCTCTGGAACTCTAGGGGGAGTGGATCTCTTTTTAGGAGGCAAGGAGGGACAGGGCTGGGATAAGGAGGAGGGGTCTCCTATGGGTTTCATTTAAAGGTCTGGAGGGAGCTTACAATCGCTGACCCTCCCTTCCCCCCCCCCCCCCTGTGCAGAACTACACCTTCCAACATCCTTTCCCTTTTGACTTGCTGGTTGGGGTTGCTGGGAGTTGTAGTTCAGCCACCTCCAGAGGCCCACGGGTCTCTTATGTCTGAAAAGAGGGATGAATGAGCAGGATGCTAAAGAAGGGGAGTACTGTATTTTTTCCTCCTTGTTCAGCATAGCTCTCTGGCTGCTCAACTGCACCCCCACCCCACCAGTGGAAGCAAAATACTTTTTGTGGCCTATTTACTTTGGGGAACTTATGGAACATCATGACAAAATCCTGACTGCCCCTTGCTATGTTAGATCTTTCACCAAAGGGACAGAAACAAGGCTACTACCAGAGACGGCTCATTTCTTTGGACCAGTGTTTCTCAACCTTGGCAGATTTCAGATGTGTGGACTTCAACTCCCAGAATTCCCCAGCCAGCCTTGCTGGCTGGGGAATTCTGGGAGCTGAAGTCCACACACCTGAAATCTGCCAAGGTTGAGAAACACTGCTTCGGACCATCAGCCACTATTCTATCTTGTCATTTCAACAGGAGGAGCCTTTTCAAGGCCTCCCAAGGAACACCAATGATAAAGCTTGGGATCTTTTGCACGTCAAGCGCAATCAGAATCACGCTTAGCGCACAGGCCAGCAGTGACTGCCTTTACACAGAATGCTAAAATGTCCCCTGGAGTGACAAGCTCCTGGGTTCACGCAACACACCAAGCGATGAGGCGGCTTTGTCTTGGGTCAGCCTAGCCTGCATCTGAAAACTCCAAGTTCTGCTCATGTAGGAAGCTAGGCAGCGCCTAGCGCCAAGATCAAAGATGGTCCAGTTAGCTCAGACATTCCTGTGCTAATTTTCGCCACCTCTGCAAAGTCCAGACATAAACGCCTTCCCTGGAGCGCTAAGGACCCAATCTGGGATGCTCTGCCCACAAATAGGCCCTAACCGAATACCTTATAGCAAGTCAGACCGCTGCCCTGTCTGTCTTGGAATCGCCTGCAGAGACTTGCAGCAACAGCTTTTCATACTTTCAGATAGGAATATCTCCAAAAGATGTTGACAGCAGAAACAGATTCACAAAGTACATATCTGGCCAATAAACAGAGCTTTCTTCTTTCTCTCTAAACATATGAAAGGGAGCCCTGACCAATTAGGTCTCCTGAAGGGGTGGAGGGGGGTTATAGCTACTTGTGATCTACTGTATCACAAACAGCCTATCAGAAGAGTGGACCTTGGACTCTCCAAATGCAAAGCAGGTGTTCTGCACCGCAGCCACACCTCCTTTGGTGGCATAAGTTGCAGGTGAATGCCTTTATTGGAGGCTGAAAGGCCTAGGCTCAACCTCTATCAGGTAAAGGCATAACTGGAACTGTGTAAAGTCTCACCTTCCCCAACCTGGGACCTTCCCGAATTGCAATTCTCCTAATTCCAGAGTTTCAGCAAATCAGAGTGAGGGTATACAGTGCCCCATTCTCACCCAAAGAGAAAGATGTTTTGCTTGCAAGCACTATTCCTAACGTTGTGGGAGAAGCATAGGCAGAAGAGTTTCACACATTCTTCCAAGCCATGTTTTAATGATAGTTTGCTGCATAAACCACAAGTGGCTGGACTTGCATGCCATACCAAGGCTACATTTTGGCTTTGTGTCTTCACATCTCTCCAAATTGTTCCCCAAAGAGCAAAGAGAGCCCTTCTTTATTTAGAAAATGTATTTTAAGATCTTTAGAAATCCCCCTGTGTGTCATCTTCACTGAGGAAGAAACCAAGCTTTCAGGACTTCAATGTCATTCCCAAATGGGCAGCTGTTTATTACTGGAGGAATCCAACCTTCACAATTCATCTATCTTTAACTCCCTCTCTACTCTACATGGATTTCCATTCATTCATTCTGTGTCTCCTAGGTCACCTCCGGTGAATGCACATATAGACGTTTTTTCTTGGAAATAAAACCTTTCTTGGAACTTAGTTGTGAATAAATAGGTACAACGACAAAGAAATTAATAATGACTGCAGGTGGAGAGAAGAAGCTGCCTGACCTCCTTCTGGGCCATTACAATCCTGAAAAATCAATGGAGGAAACTTCTCTGCCTGAAGATGAGGGTTATTATCACTTGCTAAGAAGGCTTTAATTAAAGACCCACAATTGCAGAAGCATTGCACATAAGTAGATATAATCTTAACCAACTTCTCTTTTTAAGCCTCAGTTTTGAAGGCTCCCTCCATTGGCTGCTACATCCAAGGGATTTATTAATTTGGTTGGCAAATTAAGGAACAAATGAGTCAGAGTAAGACAGGGCTTACATCCAAGAAAAGTGATAGTCCTGCCCTCCTTTCTAATACATTCTTATCTAACATGTGCCTGGGAAGCCCGCAACCATATCTTATTTAAGATAGGTACCAGCATGTCATGTTTCCTTGTGGAACATTTCTCATAAACAGTGAAACTTTAGTCAGAATTCAGTGTAGGAGGGTAGGGTTATTGAGCTGTGTTTGTGGAAATTCTCAAGGAAGCGCTGAGCTTTGGTTATTTTGAAATAAATGTGCTTCTGGTGAATAAGAACTTACTGATTAGAGGTTGCACAATGCAAATGGTACCTTCCCAAATATGGTATTCTGCTCACCCCATTGTTGGGGTTAAAAAGAAAAAAAAAGTTTGATAGAGCTTATGCAAAGCAGGGCAATGAAAATCACGTAAGTGTTACAGCATCTTTCTCACATGAAAAGGCTAAGCAACTGGATTTAGGAAACAGATAAAACTTCTGTGGCAATTTAGTGTCATGACCTATGCCGATACTCACAATAAGCTTATTTGGGCATACATGAGTGGGAGCAGGAAAGAAAAAATATATATACACACACACATTTTCCTTCTCTGGCTATCTCCCCTAATTTTAGAACTTCAGACAATTCAGTAAAATGGAAGGAAAGTAATTCTAAATAGCCTATGTTCTAATTTAATATGGGATCTGGGCCAAATTGGAAATACTCCCTAAAATAAACAGGTTGTACCTCTGACATGACTCGTTTGTTTTCTCTCTGGCAGCCTGGGTAAAGATGGGGGCAGGGTAGATTCACACTTAGCACTAAGTCCAAAGCAAACAAACCCATTGCGGCTTAGCAGGACCTAACTTTACCCACCTAACTTTAGCTTATTCAAAAATCAGAGTTTAGAAAAGAATGTCTTAACGCTGTTTGTGAAGCCAGTCAGGGTCAGAAAGAGAAGGGGGGAAAGTGGACACCCTGCCTAATTCCTGGTTATGGCTTTGTCCAGTTCCACATGCAACTCCCAAGACATAATTCCCAAGAAAATGCAAATGCAGATAGAAAAATGGTATGCCGTCCTTTTCTCTACTGGTGGAAGTATTTCATAGTTGAATTTTGAAAGTTACTGCCATATGACATTTTAAAACAAATCACAGAGAAGAGCATTACTAATGGGTTACAATATCTCTAACAATAATTACCAAATGGAACCTCCCTAAATAGGGGCAGTATATCTCAGAATACCACTTGCAGGAGGGCAAATGAGAAACAGAGCATTGCCCTCCTATCTTACAATGGGAGTTTGCTCTGACCAGCCAATGAGAGAAACTGAGGCCTGGATCAGAAATATTTTAATCTAAGCCAGCAACAAGGTCCTAATGATACATGCACACCAGAAAGGTGCAGGAAGAGAAAAATCTTCATTTTTTAAAACAAGTATCTCAAATGGAATCAGCAAGGTAGCTTGTTGGAAGGAATAGGTGGGGTAAATTCAGTAGGCTCAATCTGTAAAACACAGCATTAACAAAGCACTGAGGCAACTGAAATGCACCTTTTCCTAGCTGAAGTTTCACTCTGAATTCATAATACAAACCATATTAGCAAGGAAGGGATCCCACTGAAATTGCCAGCACATTATTAGGAATCCCTCTGACGAAAAGAGAGATCCAACCTCTGATAGTTATTTCTCTCATTCTCCGATTTCATCCAAGCTCACTGTCATAAACTTGGAAACCTTGCTAATGCCCTATTCATTGACCAAAGCGGGGCAAGGCCCCTCAATCACCGTGATGTCCCAAGAGAGAATGCCATGCCTCCTGTTCCGAAGAAAAGTCCTGGGGCTGCACTAGTTTATGTTCCACTTCTACTGTGCAGCTGTCTAGTCCCCCCTCTGTGGCTGCATGTGTATGACATGTCTTCAGTGCACATATATGAACATCAAGGACCAGGCAGTACACAGTCTGACATTTCCCATGCAGAGTAACTTTGCTTCAGAGCCTTAACATGATCACTATGGCCAAGCAGGAAACACATGCTGGTGAATAAGCAGGATGCTAGAGAAAGGTGGC